GTCACATTCAGTCAGTGTCCCATTAATATGATTATTCGTAGATTATTTTGCAATAAAAATGTATGATTCTATTGTTGTCGACAGTTCTTATCAGGCTATAAATAAAGTATTTGTACCCCATACTAATATTAAATGCCACAGTGTAACTTGATTTAGTTTAGCTTAGCTCACATAGCTTACGCAGTTTCCCATAGCATTTGATAATGAAAATGAAAAAAAAAAGTGCCAGATCAATTGGTACAGAAACAAAAAAAGGAAACACCTCCACACTAGGCATTGCCTGTCCTGTGGAGAAAGAAATTTGTTTGTATAGTTTCCACACACAACTATGGAAAATCTGCGTCAACTTAGCTTGCTGATCTTGGTCTAAAGTTAAATGATTGACAAGAACAATATCCTTCAGGTCTAGCGAGGTTGCTGGTCTTTTACTAATAACTTTATACATAAAAACACTCCTTCTGGCATAATCGGGTAAAAAAGCTTGCGGATTGTAGGTATATGGCTTAACTAAGTCAGTGCCTGAGGTAAGGGGGCGGCACGGGAAGTACATTGACATGAGTATTATGGAATGACAGAGTATACATCTAGGAGATTTGAAGTCTAGCTGACATTTGAAGGTCACAAAAACAGCATCCAGTGCCACTCGCATACCTCAGGCAGTGACAGTTTAAGCGCTAGATAGTCGCGTTTGGAATCCCAAAAAGTATTTTATGTACAAATAGATCTATAGATGTCTACTTAATATTACCCAACATCCAACCTTTGTGCCCATTGAAAGTGGAGAATACAACGTGTAATGTCAAGGCAACTCGTGATAGGATACGATGGTATTTGACGAGGCATTGTTTAGCAGATCCTGTTTGAATTTGTGCAGATTTGGCATGAATATTTAGATTAGAGTGGGCGGGTTAGATGGTGATATTGAAATACCTAGGTATGTAGCTGTCACCGTAAAATTGTGAATTCCGTCAGATTATAATCTGACGTAGTTAAATTACAATCTAACCTAACCTAACCCACTGTTAGTTTACAATCTAACGCGTTATATTATATACTGACAGAGTTCACAATTTTACGGTGACATAGCTACCGCTTTTATCCTAAAACCTACATTACAAAATTGGACCAACTACAGGGTTTTCCAATAAGAGATGTTATTTTGATATTGAAAGAAAAATTCATTTTTTAAATATAAATGATCGGATGTTTTTTTTTATGCATAACAAGGCAGGTATTTGACCACAATCGCACCTGATGTTAATTTAATTGTTTATTTTATTACAAAGAGGAAGGTATGCCGTTAATAAAATCAGGCAAATTACTACCACGTCCACGCTTACAGGACCATTTATCCTTTTCATGAAATTTAAAAAAACTAATCGCAAACTGACTGCCCTAGTGCCCTATGTCCTCGGTAGCCTTACTTTCAACAAGACGGCGCTACGTGCCACACAAGCAACGAAACCATTGATCTTTTACGGGAAAAGTCTCCGGACCGTATCTCTCGTACTTTTACATAAATCCGTCCAATTTTCCCCGTGTTTTCAAAAGGCCAGTGACCTCAACCTTACTGTCATTTCACGTCTCTGTCATACGCACTAACGGTGAAACACCGGACATCGCCGATCTACATAATAATGACAAGAAAAGACAAATGACTAAGCGTGTTTTACACGATTTCTGACCATAATGAGTTACGGTTAACTTGGTTGATGATTATTAGTACCTAAAGTACAGTTGACAACATAGGATTTTAAACTTCACAAAAGTTCAATGAGTGTTTTGTGAGAATTAAATCATATTAATTCTTCATCGTGAGTTTCATAATGCTTTTAAATGCTGTTATAAGTATAAGCGAGTCCTAAGCTCATGTGTTTAAGCTTTCATGCTGTAAAGACTCATCAGAATCAATCAAGTAGGTAGATATTCGTGAAAGGGCATCTATACTCTATCTAACCTTACAAACTTTTGATGATCAGTTAATATTTAGTAGGTATGTAGAGACAGAAAATCTAAAGACATAAAATTGATGAAAATCCATGGATTTCGCCAGGATGTTGGGCTACGCGATTCGAAGATGATAAGTTGATAGTACTCACCCATGAGTCAATATCTACTAATAAAATTGCACTGAAAAATAACCCTAGATGCGCCAATGTGAATCTACCTAAAGTTGGAAAATCTCGTATACAATTGGAGGAAATCCATTGATTTATCCTATACTTTGGTAATTTGATTCGCAAAGGTTTCCAATTTCTAGCGGGAAGGCACATTCCGCAAACCGCAATTACATAACACCAGGACATCACTTGATACTGTGTACAATCTGTCATTATTTAAAGCAAAGATTCCCAAACTTTTATTGGCGCCTGATGAAAAAAGAGGTGTTAATTTAGAATGTTTATCTGTGACATTCTAGCTCGCACAAATTATTAAGGCTAAGTAGCAATACCTTACTTTAACATTAACTTGAAGCGGTATAGGTATAGCTCACTTGCATTTTAATTAAATAAATAAATAAATGATTAAATAAATAAATAGATAGTATTTAGAAACTCGTAAAGATCTGCGAGCTTTATAACTACCGGTGTTTTTTGTATGGAGTTTGACAGACTTGATGTCTGTTATAGAGTAAGAGGGTGCAATCCAGATTTTTTAAGTACCTACCTAGTAGTTATTTTGTTTCTAAGTTTCATTTGAAATTGATCGAAAGACGCTTTTAGGTATGTCTCATGAGATTTTTTTAGGTCTTTTGAGGCCATGCTAGGGGAAACTACTAAGCCAATACATACTATTATCACTTTTTATACTTATGCGTTCAGATTCAAGAATTTCTCAATTTTTAATGACGTCCTCTTAAACAGTTTTTCGTTCTCGCTCGCATAGTTTGAGAAGCTATGACCAAGGAACTCGAAATCGTGCGTTTCTCAATACATCCATAACAAAATGCTGTGTTACACATTCACGGAAACATGCAATTTTCACAATGTATTCCGATATTGTGTAAAAGCGAAAGGACATTGACTCATTCACTCTAGTAGACAACTAAGGCCTTTCTTAGTCCAGTGGTTAGAGTGTTGGCTCCTTTCAACTTAGAGGTTTTGAGTTTGAATCCCAGTTGGGACTGACCAGAGAATAAAAAAGTCATTAATACCTTTTTCTTTAAAGAAGTTAAGCTTTTAAAAAGCGCTTTCAGCCGTCCCAGTATTTAACCCTACCACTGCTTCGGGGCAATAAATGGGCACTGGCCCATTCTTCTCAGTACTGGCTAAGAAGAAGCAGCGCAAGAAACTTACGCCCGTATTTACAAACGAAGAATGCTTAATAAAAGCGGCAAATAGAACGCACAGCGCAGCCTTGAATAGAGCACTGTGATTGATTAATTTGTCACCCTGTGCGTCCACGCGCAATGTGCCTCACACTGCACCTCACAGTAATGTTTGCGAATACGGGCGTCAGTCACTAGTGTTTGTTCAAAGTTTGGTTAGGACTAGGGTTGCCAGGCCCAAAAACACAAAAGCCGGACTCTGTGCTTCATTTGGCCGGACATTTTACTCTAAAAGCCGGATGTCACATAGCATCTGACACCAAGGTCGTGACTCGTGACACGTCGTGACCTAAGTTGTCACACCCACAACTAACACAATAAAAAAAAAAAGACTTCAAAAGATCACGTCATTGTACAGGCTTCAATCAGACTAGTTGTTGCAAAAATAGGACTTATTTACAACTGGTACGTAAATTCCAATTTACAAGTACGTAAACTCCTAAAGTTTTTACCTGTATTGTTACCTTGTCTGTACATATTAAATGCATTTTAATTCGCTCATCACGATATAATTTGTGTTATATTCCCCATGACATCATAATAAGATAATGGGCTGGGTCATAAATCAGTAGGAAAAATATAAGTACAGTCGCCTCTACATGACATTTTGTTTCAAAATCACAATGATTTTTCGCGCTGCGTTTTTTCGACACTGGATTATTTATTATCCCGCCTGAAGCAATAGTAGGGTTAACATATAACATATATGTACTGGGACGAGTTAGTGTTTTTTTAAAACCTAAGGTTGATTGCAACTTGACGTTTAGAGTAGGAGACCTTTTTTTTAACGGTAACAATAAAATTATACGGTGCTTTTTGTATGGAGTTTGACACATTTTTGTCGTTTGTCAAAATTAAAGTAAGATGGTGCAACTCAGTCTATTTGTAAACAATAAATTACTTTTGTCAACTTAAATGCAATAGTTTTAAGTGTGGCTTGTACAGTCACTGCATACTATTCAGAAAATATTTTTATTATAAAATAGCACTTATTAGAACTGAATAAAGTTGATAATAATCGTCTCGATGGCGTGTTTAAAATCTATTAAAATGAGTAAAGCGCTCTAGGTTAGATAAAGTAAAAGCAATAATGTAATAGTTTGAAAATAGATTTAGAAAGGCAACAATACTTTTTATTACACAAAAAACGAAGGCCAATTGTGTTCTAAGAAATCATTTTCGCCTTTTACTAATTACTTTTTTACATAACTTAAAAACAATTTGCTATTACAGGAAGAATTTTCTTATATTCTCGTTGAAACATCTTAAAATAAATATTTTCTGTGTTATACTTATTTTCTTTTCGTTATTTTACTAGCCAATAAGCTTTACTTAATTTGGGACCAGAAGAACGCCCGTATTCACAAACATTACTATGAGGTCTTACAGTGCGCGTGGACGCACAGGGTCACACACGAACCAATAACGCGAGTTCATTCAACGCTGTGCGTTTGATTTGCTGCTTCACTTATTCAAGCATCGTTTGTGAACACGGGTGTAAGGCTCGGTGTCCACGAAAGCGAAGAGAAGAAGTTTGAATAACCGACCAGATTTCGTTACTTCCACATCTCCTCTCCACTCAGCTTCTACTCGAAAATCTACTTTCCTCTCCACTTTAGTTAAACCGAGCCTAAAATTCCAACCATCAAAATGACAATGTATTGAATTCCAGTACCAAGATGTCACGCGCAGCGTCGTTCGCGCAACGATGGGCCCAGGACAACTTGACCAGACCCCCCACAGAAGACGAGCTCACAGTCCTCAACCTGTTTCCCATCACCTGCGATGGAGACGAGGTTGAAGCTGCCAAGAGAGCCCGGAGATACTACAAGGCTAGAGGACCTGGAGGACTGACAGAACTATGGCATAAGAGATACCCTGATGACGAGGATATTTTGTCCAGTTGCCAGGATGCGTAAGTATCTTTTGATTTAAAGAACTACCTAATGTAATTATGGGACTGAGTTGTCTGATGTGGGAATCCTGAAGGATGTGGTACAGAGACGAATTGTCTTAAGGTTTCAAGTTTACTGAAATTATTAGGGACATCGAAAATATGAAAGCTTGTTGGTGGGGACAATACTTACTTAATAAATACATAAATATAAATAGGATTAACGTAGGTTTATCAGATATATATCAGATAATGCAATTTTTTGTACGGATGACAAAAAACGTGAGTAGCTTAGAAAATCAAATCAATGTTCAACACCAGTTTCCAGAAAGTCGTGAAAATTTTCCAAGTTGTGATGTATTCATGCTATAGCTATACCTACGCATCTATATTGTATCGAGTGTCGACGCGCTGCGTTTCTTTTCTAAATAAACCAGTCAGTCGCGGACCACCGTGTTATCAATTAGCTCCCGTAGTTAGTACCTAAATCGATATACATACACTACACAAGTTATGGCATATTCGTTTGTAAAAAGTTCCAACACACGCCAAACTAATGTGTGTTAATTGAACACGTGAACACGTGGAAATGTTTACGAAACACTCAAATTGTGTTACTTCATAATTGATTATTAATTAGCTAGTTTAAACAGTCAATAGCACATCAACATATGTACTTACCATCAACCACAAGCCCCAATGGATGTCGAACTCTAATTCTTTACTGTTAGGTTCAAAATCAATAGATTAAGAGATAATTCGTGGTAACTGTAAAATCGTAATGTTTTCTTTCGTATTTTTCCAGTTACATCGTCCCTCTTCGCGCCAGGAGTGTAGGAGGACGGAGGATGACCCTCGTCAGGCTTCCAGCTCCGATGGCCATGGACAGGCCACTGTCAGCGAAGGCGCTGCTCTCTAGGTGGCTTATGATTTTAGATATACGGTAAGTCATCATCAGGTCTTTTAGTCTCCACTGTAGGAGCATGACTCTTATTTACCGGAGACAAAATGAAATGAAATATTTGGCCTTCGCTCTCCACGTGTATACCAACCATAGACATCTAGAGAGATGCCAACTAATGCGCTGAGATCCAAGCCAAGTGTCACGTCACGTTAGAAATTCACACACACAAAGTGATCAAAATAAAAACAATACTTCGCGAAGTAATGCGTTCTATTTTTGGGCATATTGCTGCGACACCGGCCCCGCCCCCTTTTCACATCTCCCTTTAGTTTCTGTGATCTGTGATATCAACTAGTGTCCGACCGAAACTAGTTTTGCGACCGAAACCGAAACCGAAAACGAATTTCGGCAACGGTGTCTATTTCGGCCGAAACCGAAACCGAAACTTCCTTACAAGGCTCATATTTTGAGGGAAAAATAAAGAAAACGTTATTATTTCTGTATTATTTTCCATTTTCTTCCCTAAACTTTGAATTTTTGACGAATTTCAATATCTAACTACTACGTGTGATATATCATTGGAAAGAAAAGAAGCTAGAAATGTTTTCAAGATCATTGGCAATCCGATATCACCATTCATTTTTTTTTAATCAAATTCTAAGTAGAATATTTGTTCAACTTTGGCGGCTCGTAACTAGTTATCCAATCTCTATCTGGATCTGAAATTTATTTTATCTAACTAAAGACATATTCAATATTAATATCAAATAAAAAAAATTGGTTGAAAACACGTGACAAAAAAATTTAAGCAGCTTTCAGGTCAAATTTCGGAAAAAATAAATTAAAACAAAAATATCGATTAAAAAAAAGTAGCTCACTTAGGGGCAAATGGGCGAACTTGTATTCTTAGAATGATCTTACCTACACCACAGAATAATAATAAGTACTACGTACAGAAGTTTTACTTCGCGAAGGTATTTAAAAAAATGTATGCTCAATGTCATTAACAATATGGTGTAATTTAGCTTGTCTCAAGAGTCAAGCACTTCTCCAGGAAATCATACTGTGTACATAAATGCGTTAGGAATAGGTTCATCGAATTATTTCAACTATATATCTACATTAGTGTCCGACCGAAACTAGTTTTACGACCGAAACCGAAACCGAAAACGAATTTCGGCAACGGTGTCTATTTCGGCCGAAACCGAAACCGAAACCGAAACTTCCTTACAAGGCTCATATTTTGAGGGAAAAATAAAGAAATGCGAAAATGCACTGCCTGAAAGAATCGCACAACCTACTCCGACTACATGACTAGCTACGCTATGGAACTGGAATTTACATTCGTTTTGTAGAATAGCTCAAATACTAATAATACAATGCAAATTAAACATACTTTAACGACCTGGTTTTTCTTGTGTTGGAAAATAACTGAAAAAGAAGTGAAAAAAGTCATGTTTTTTTCTACTTAAATCCATTCCTACTCCCTTAAAATGTATGAAACTTGTGTCTGTTTTCTATTTTACTAATAGATCATTATATTAGCTATCGCATGACATAAAATATTTGCTCATTAGTGTTAAGGTGCCCACGCAGTCACTTGTTTTTGAAGGAAGAGGTGAATTTTAAAAATTAAAAACTTAAAACCTTGTAATTTTTTGAGAAATGGGTCAAGCCCCTTTGAAGTATTTTCATCGATAAAATTGACCATAGATCACTCCCTTAAATATCGATCACTACATGCCCGGACACATTGTATAATACTATAAATTAAGTATAAACTATGATCGTAATGCACATTCGGTTTCGGTCGTAGTATCGGCAAGTTTGCTGCCGAAAACGAAACTAAACCGAAACTCGTGTTTTTAACGAAACTCAACCGAAAACGAAACCGAAACCGAACATTCGGTCGGACACTAATATCAACCAATGCTATAGATGACCCACGCTGAACTGTCCCGCCAAACTCAATGACAGGGGGGCGCTACCATCGTTCATCTATATGGTTTCCAACATGGCAAAAATCTGAACCAGCGATCCGGTATTGACGGTGGCGCCCCACTGTCAATGTCATCGACAGGACAGTCCAGTATTTTGGAACTATAAGATTATTAGTTTTATTAGGTAACAGTAAGTCATAGATTTACAGGATATGATTCCCTTCAGTTTCTTTTGTCTCCACAATTCAACCAATGAACCAAATTAATGGCAAAATCTATTGCATCTTAGAGATTTATAGAAAACATAAGGATTTATTGGTTCTGAGGATACATTAATTAAACCTTCAGTCCCATTTATTTATGCTAGTCATGACCATAAAAAAGGGTCATAGAGTCCCTGTTTAAATTATTACCTAATGGGAATCATGTTAATAATCTGAATCAAAAGACAATAGTTTTCTCACTATCATTTGACAACGTATCCAATTCCTCTAATCAAATTGTCACAATGAAACAAACAGATTTGTCAGACAAAAGCGACAATAGATCTTTTGTCTCTTATTTGCAGACCATTTCTATCCAGTTACACGAAATTTTACTGAGAAATTGGAGACAAAGGGCTTTGGAAACACCGCGTTCATCAGTATTAATTTACTTACTGTTTATTTGATTCTTCTTTCTTTATGAAATTCGTACTAAATCATTATTTAAACTTTCCTAAAAATAGACTGTCTTGATCTCAATGTTATATCTTTTTTATCGGGTTTCTCCAGGCTTTCTCGACTTACAGATTTTAACCCTTTTCTTGGCATTGTGCATTTAAAGATACGTTGACCAAAACAAAAATATGGGGGAGAAACCAAAGACTATTTTCAAATGTTTTTTTAAAATAACGTTAGCCCAAATACTACAGATTGTGTTACACAGTATAGAATCGCTACAGGCTGCACAGATTTAACAGTAATATGCAAAATGTCAGACCATTGACAGGCGTCTACGCACCGGCTGATGATTTTTATTATTTTCGGTGTTTTTTTTAAAGAATATTGGTGATTATTTGTAGTAATATGGACAGTAAATAAATGTTTCTTGATGATAGTGCTTTTTTTTCATCCCAAAACTTGTATAATTATTCTTGTACGATGCGGATTGTCCGAATGTATCTCTAAATGCACATTGTCAGATACGTAATAATTTACTTTCAATTTTGAATGTATCTTTAAAGACACATTGCCAGGTTCTCGTTGACTTTATTTTATGATTTTTTCATAGATTTTATCGCATAAAAAGTGATATGTTATAAGTTAGTAATATTCAAAGCTGTAAATTATAATATACTGATATGAGTTTTAATTCATTTACTAAAGAATTGTTGTTTTTTGGACAACTAAGTGCTGCAGCAACAAAATCAGGCGCGCAAAATTCTGGTTATGGTTCCAAAATCTCGAACCAGGTCGAAAGTCAGTAGCGGTGACACTTCAGCTGATGAATTAGAAGCCGCACTTAGTCTCCTGGTTCTCTTGGGTGGTTATCTTCCTACTCCAACCAACCCAAATCACCACAAAAAGCGAGCAGCCTGTCCAGGCTGCTGCATGCTTCTGGTTATAAAGCTGGTGATTGAAGAATTTTAGCCAGTTCGACTGCTGCATAGTTTCCCTGAGAGTTCCAGAGATCCATTTCAGCTATCTTGCGTTTCGACTGTAAGTTGGATATCTAATTATCTTCAATCAAAGACGTGAACACAGTTCGGTACCAGTTGGCATCAATACACCTCGTATTTCTTTAATGGTCTTGCAAGATTCTCATGTGTTCTATCTGCGTTTGCTTCTCCTGGATGGTAAGAGGGGTCTGAGTTTCAGGAGGTATTCCAACGACGCTGATGGAGTGGTTCTCATGCATCCAAATGCAGCTATACTTACAAGGCGTTACAGACTTTGAAGTGTTTTTTTTACTTTGTTTTCAGTTTTTTGTAAAAGATATTTATTTTTTATTTTTCAAATAAGGATTAGCTTAAGGTTTTGTAGTAATTTTCATTTAAATAACTAATTTCTACTAACAAATAAACCATGTTTTAATTTACTTCAAAGCTGGCAATGTGCACTTAAAGATACATACTATATTTCCAAAAGTACATACCTAAGATTTTTTTTCGTATTTTTCACATGATTTTTACTCGTCATAAATCCAATATTTATAGTGTAAATCACAAATATTAACCAAAACCGTTGTTGCCAAGTATAGGGTTAATATCAAATCACAAAAAATACACATTAAATACTCACTCAAGCTCGACTCTAAAATAATCAAGTTTTCATGCTGCATGGTTTGGTGTTTGTTCAAGGGTTAATAAAATTTGTGGATGGTGCCCAAACCAATAAATAAAATAATGCCTGACATCTGATTTTGTACTTCAATTGTTTCCCCTAAATAACGATAGTACGAACATTATTGTTATTATTCGTTGATCGTTACATCCACGAAGACGCGCCCTACCATTCTTTCGCTAATGTTTGAGTGTTATCGGTACACGCTAAATATTATTCTATGAGTGCACACGCACCCTACAATAGGTAATGAGTCATTACGCTCTTATCAACTAATGACGCTCGGATTGCTCAGATCAAAGTCCGCACCCCGTACTTCCCTCGACCAAAAATTGGTGGGGCGCGTCTTCGTGGATGAAACGATCAATAAATTGGTGTCTACTATTTCCAGGTTACGCGAAGATCCAACTCCTGGTGAGGAGGTGGTGTTCATAGACGTTAGCGATCTCCAGCCGTCACATGTGAAGAACCACTTCAGGGGCACATATTGGAAGGACTTCGTTTGGTGCATGAAGGTAAAATAAAATAACTTTCACTGAGCCAATTCAATAGAAGATCCGTGGTCGCATGAGTCCGCGGTAACAATTAATTTCGATTGTGTCTCGATTCGCTGGTACTTGAAGGGCTACGGCTTTGCTTCATACTCAACTATCGATTTATCATCCATGAAAACTTACTTAGTTTCCTAACGTTTCTCGCATTTGTCACAATCAATTTAAGTTGTAATTTTCCTGTGATAAAAGTGAATCATTTTCATGCGTCACTTCTCATCATAAGCAAAAATTATGGCTGCTTGCTTATGAAAAGTTCCAATTGGTGCATGTAGGTAAACTCAGAAAAATAAATAAACCTCTAAGAGTAGGCGCACACCGTTGATTTTTAGTTGCCCGATAGTTGTGCCCGTTTTTAATTTGTATGAAGAATCGACCAAATCGAATCGGCGTAGTGTGCGTACTCCGTACGTACATGTACTCCCATACATGCCCATACTGATCAACTGCCCGACTAAACTATCGGCCGACGAAAAATCAACGGTGTGCGCCTACTCTAAGAAATAAAGAATATGAAAAATGTTTTGATATCGTACATCATACTCGTTATTGCTTGCACATCGCAAAAAATGGCAGTCATAACACTCAGATGTTATTTGACTAGGTGGACAGGCACAATTTTGGCATTCTATCTTTTCATTGTGATTTCTTAGACAAGGAAAGGGGAACTTATTTTGCAGAAAACTAGTGTCAAAAGGCGATAAGCTCCCAGATCGAAAGCATGTCAGTTCCAAATACTGATCAGTAATCCCACATGTTTCCATTCCAGACAGCATACCCGCTCCGCTTCACGGAGATCCACGTCATCAACACTCAGCGCTTGAAGACCATGTCTCTCCTGCTTTTACACATCGGTCTCCATCCCTGGAAGCGTAAGGTCCTGCACATCCACTCCAAGGCTGAGGAGATTAACCAGGCCATGGGGTTTGATTACTTTCCACCGGAGAGCCTGCCACATGAGTATGGGGGGAAGGCTGGTGCTATGAAGGATCTCAATGGTAAGTCTTGGTTTTGATGAGCTCTGGTGGTGGACGATGGCATTGACATAGCATCAAATAACTGACTGCTAAAAGCTAGAAGCTTACGAGAAATTGTTATCTCTCGTTGTTCCCATTCCATTCTGGGACAAAATTCTGGCACCACGAGAAAACAGGGGCTAAAAGCTATAGTTATGTCATTGTGCCTATACAATGAAGCACCTGGAAAAAATAAAAAGGGGCAAATAAGAAACAGTTAGCTATTTTATTCTAAGAAGGACTAGTTAGTTACTTCTGAAAAATAAAACACATGTGATGAAATAGTACCTTAAAGACTGTGGATTAATTTAAATATATCGTTTGTTTTCTCAACTGCTTGTTTACTGTTCTGTACTTCTGAAATGTGTGTCTCAAATAAGTAGCAGAATTGCTACATACGTCTCTGTATCTGTTGCGATTTTCATGACTGGTGCTCTAAACTAGCTCAATTTCACCAATAATTCTAAATCAAAAACCATATCTCTTTCACAGACGAATGGACAAAGAAGCTCCTCTCCAACTCAAAGTGGCTGGAATCAGAAGAACGCAAATTCTACGACACAGAACTGAAACCAGAACTAGACACTCGGTCTCGACACCGCAGCGCCGTGCGCCTGCGAGCAAGCAACGGTTCTTATGACATGATCACACGCACGCACTCGTGTAGATCTTTACATAGGCATGATGACTTTGATGAAGGAACGTACGGCGCTTACAGGACTTTAAAAGTGTCTTCTGATAGTGATTTCTATGTATAAGTGAGGAAAAACAAGAAGATGTTTTTTGCTGAGTTGTGCGGGAACTACCTACTGATTGATCCAATGACATGGGACGTACGGCGCGCATAGGACTTTGGATAGTGATTTCTATCTATGAATGAGGAAGAACCAGAAGGTGGATTTTGCAGTGTTTTGGCGCGAGTAACTGACCCAATATGATCTCGCCCACATATTTTGCAGATTTTGGAACAGACACCCTGCTACGTATAAGTGAGGAAGATTATAGACATATTTATGAAGGTCTTGGAATAGACGATAAAGGACAGTGTCTTAATACAGACACCTTGGAGGAAATTCTAGACAGTTGTAGCGATGGGATACCTAAATAAGAAGTGAAATGGAGTATGCCATCCTAAATGCAGAGCTTTGCAATAATACCTACTCAATTGAGACAAAAAAATAATAGTAAGTGCCTTCTATTATTTCACGAGCAAAAGCATCTTGGTAACAAAGTGAGTGTTATATAAACGTACAGACGTAGGAGTGTTTGTTAAAATGCTTTTTCGTTCTTCAAAGAAACTGCCTGGTATATTGAGGAAAGTTTTCTTTACAATACAAGTGCACAGTTGGTTTATCTTTTTCCATCTTGCCAATACCATGACAAGATAAAGAGTGCCCATTTTTTATGACTATGAGATTGTTTGATATAATACAATAACCTCTACTGTACCTAATTTTGTATTTGTTAGAATCTCATCCAAATTGTACAAATTAAATTATTCATAAAATTAAAGTTTTGTTATTTAACCATTTTTTAAAACACTTCCAAGTCTCTAATAGTTCTATAACAAAAACAAAAGTCTTCAGATACTTAAAATAGCAGTAAAATAAAGAGCTGTACCAAAATCAAAATCAAATCAAATCAAAATCAAAATTATCTTTATTTGTTTAGACTAATTAAATTAGTTCTTGCAAATCGTCAAATGCTCTTAAGGAGCCTATACATGTCTCATTCTTTTTTTGCCCTACCAGCGCTTCGAGACAAACATTTGGCAAGTGCTGAGAAGAAGCGCCGCAACAAACTCAGTCACCACTGTCTGCCGGTTTTACCTATAAATAGTCGTAAGTAGGCTTTCAGCAGATAAAGCTTGAAGCATAGAGGAATAACAATAGCAATTAACCGTCGCAACAATTTATAGGACCTAGTTTCTAGTTAAATATGTAGAGTCTGCCTGCTGTTTGAATTAAGTTACAAAAAATTAATAATTTTCATTTCTAATTTCTCACCGTAGTAATAAAAGTAGGTATTTTTAGACATCAGTATCGTTATCGGAGGTTTCCGGCTACTGGGACCGCAATTAACTAGGACCGCGGTCCCAGTTGCTGGATCCATAAAAAATAATTGTCACACTACACTTTTCTTTCTTGTGAAGATAGAGATAAGATTATTTGTTGAGAGTTCAATGAAATTCCCACCGCTGCAACTCCTGTGTAGCCAGGGTCCACAGCTTGATAAAAACCCAATGAGAGTTTTTCCTTTCTCCCATACAAACATGTAGGTCAAGCTGGATAAGCTGGCTACACAGGAGATTTGCAGTGGTGGGAATAGACCCGATAGTCATGCAATATTATTCAGAATCGTGTATTTCTATGCTTATTTCGTGCACCAAACCTAACTAGACATAAAGTATAAAATCGCAGTGCAATTTGGCCGAATGCAGCAGTGAAAGGCTTCGAGTGTCTGCCTCTGAGAGCACGAAATGATTTAGTACTCGTACGTGTCGACGCATTTACACTGCACGATGTACTTAATTTAAATTTAAATTGGGCATTTGACACCAAAAAAGTAAAAAAAAAACACCCCATAATAATTCTACTTTCTTAATAGGTTACTTGGCAGCTTGCTTTTTTTGGTCTTGATCCTTAAATCCGCATAAGATTTAAAATGGTATGTAGCCAAGCCAGCTATTTTCTGTAGCAGTAATGTGCCAATAAGGTTACTTATCTAAAGCTCATATGTAACTGATAGCTATGGGCTTTTAATTAAACTAAGAGTTATTATTAAATGCCAGTCTGTAGTAAAATCTAGGTCCACATACAATATCTTGAATAAACATCAGTTATACATGGACGACTGGTAAAAAAAGTTAACGAACAATAAAATGCAATAATATAAACCACATTTGCAGTTATATGCATTTCGGGATAGAGCCCACGCCAAATGGCGCTCACAGTGAAAGGCTGAAGCTAAGTGCTCGTAGAGCATAATAAGTAGCGGGTATTTACACGGTACGATGTTTAATTGATTATTTATTAGGGTACTATTTTGTCCTACTTTTGGTACTTTCTGTTTGTAATGTGTGTTTCTGTTATGCAAATAAACGTTTTATCTATCTATCTATCTATCTATTTATTTATTTATTTAAATAAATAAATAAATAATCAATTAAACAAACATTGATTAGAGAATTACAGTTACATTACTCTCTTCTGATATTTTTCTATACAGCCAGTAGCGGCGTAAGGGGGGGGACGGTGGGGGCGGTCCGCCCCGGGTGCCAAGCATCAGGGGGTCACACAAGTCGCGCAGATTAGTACTCACTGGCACATCTGCATGGCAAATCTGCCGTCTATGTCATGATACGAGGGGGGTGGGGGGTGCGATTGTCTTTCAATCTTCGAATCGCGAGGTAACCCCAAAAATCCTGGTGGATCGCCCCGGGTGCCAACCCATGCTACGCCGCCACTGTATACAGCTATGGTGTGTCAATACTGATACCTAGCTTACGAAGTTATCAGTTAGGTATTTACGAATCTGCAAAGTTAGATGCGTTTTTCAGCACAAACAAGTAACCTAATGCATAGTATTGTATTAACTTACATAAGGCTTAATTATTTTTACCTTTCTATATTAAAAAACTATCCTCTTCCCTAGACGTCTGAAAAGTATCTCTTTACAACAATAGTTTCACTAAAATACCTAGAGTTGTTTTTACTTTTTGTGTTTCTTACAATAGTTAGTGTTCAATAAAGTGTATCTATCTACTATATTTTAATTTAAAAGTAGAATTTATATCCAATGATTGAAAACCAAAAAAGTCCCTACAACTTCCAATAAACAAAAAACAAAATTACATAAAATGTAAGCACTAAATCAATAATCACGCCACACTGGCCAGTCAGATCAAGTCAGATGCATCAGGAGATAGACGCCAAATTGCACTCGTCTCAGTGAAAGGATAGAGCTAAGTGCACGAAGAAAACAAAACCAAAGAGGCATTTACACAGTACGATTTCTGCTAAGTTTTTCTGTCATAAAAGGCTCAATAAGTTTAAGATTACGGTTTCTAAGCTTCTAAAAACGAATAGGCTACATTGAAGTAACGTTTTTAAGCAGTTCTATCTTGGACATTTTATTGTTTGGTGGTTTTTCAAGTTCCTACCTGATTCGTTCGTTCGTTCGTTTCAGCCAAATGACGTCCACTGCTGGACAAAGGCCTCCTCCAAGGTTTTCCACAATGCACGATCCTGCGCTGCCCGCATCCAGGCTCTTCCCGCGACCTTTACCAGATCGTCGGTCCGCCTAGTAGGAGGCCAGCCCACGCTACGTCTTCCAGCCCGTGGTCGCCACTCATGCTCTCAGCCTCAACTCAGCCTACCTGATTACAGAGGCGAAAATAGACAAAATATTTTATCATCAGATTCCTGATGGGCAATCAGGTCCCCAATCCCTCCCTATTAGAGAGGTTGCTTGTAAGAAGAACTCCGTCAACACACTCTACTACAAGCATTTAGCTAAGCTGAAGAAGTTAACGACGACCTCATAAATGTAGCAGGAAGGCGCTGGATGCAGGCTGCCCACCAACCGGCCATTGTGGAAATCATTGGGGGAGGCCTCAGTTCAGCAGTGGGCGTCCTATGGCTGAAAATGGTGATGATGAAGAAGAAGTTAAAAGGAGTACCTACTACAATATTTAAACCAAATAAAAACAAGTTATTTTTTAATTCATGACTATAGTCATAATGCGGTTAATCCTCGTTAACACAATCGTACAGTGTAAATGCCCCAACAAATCCGCCACAGAAAAAGTAGCGGGTAATGAGCGATCGGCCGACAAGCGCCGACCGACCGCGCTTTCTAATCGCGAACGTAAAAATGCTCGCAGCTGTGGACTAGTGGATATTACAGTATTAGATGCTTTGATCTTTAAAGATTTTTCTTAAAAATACCTGCCTAGGCTCGAAGGTAGTTCCTTAAGGACGCTACATATTTTGCCCGCCTGGCGGCTTGGTGTCGGCGCGGCGGCTTTATTCCAAAATAATCATGTCGATGAGTTATACTTTCCAAGTCTTTTGATAACATAGCGGTTTTTGGAGATAGAGTCCAGAAACTTACCATCGATTGCAATAGGCAACTAGCTCTGGCTAGCTGCTTCGCCCGCGATTTCGGTCTGTTACAGAAAGAATAAATGAATGTAAGAAAGAATGAAAGATACATTTCTTACAATGGACATTACACAAATACAGGCAAAGTGCAACGCTGGTTTTCAGTTATCCCATGCCGAGTGCGAATGTCCTGTTGACTATTTGTTGATTAATTTTGGCAATTAATAAAACCAATATCGTCCACTGTAGAGTAGATTTAAGAGAGACTGCTATACCTACAAATTACACGCATACTCAATGCATTACCTATTCCTTCTAGATACTACTATTTTGGCGTCATATTGCCAAATCACCCTTAATACAACTTCCAAAAATGCCAGTGTCGTTGCATGTAGGATGCCACACAACGTAGCTCCGATTGACGTGACGTTGCGCGTTGCCGCGTTGTCTAAACGAAGTCAAAGCGCACCTATTTTATGTTGCCCTGGTACATTTAGTAAACATAGGTGCGCATCAAGGAATAGTTTAGGTGCGGTTCATTAGGTGCGCCTTAAAAAGGGTACGCTTCAAGAAATACCTCGTCTAAACGTATTTCCCAATCGAAAACCGAAGGCTTCAGGGCGTGAAAATAATACTGAGATATTTCACAATAATCACTATAATGTTGCTATCTTTGCCCAAACAGTTTTGTGCCACGGGAACAAAAATACTGGGTCTTATTGTGTGGTGTTAGGGGTGATATTGGAATGGGTAATGTAAAAACATTGGAGCATCAAAAACGCAAGCAACGAATCAACAAACGTGCGCTCACGCAATGCGTCGCGCACTAGTAAAGATAATGAAGGTGACCATGGTCTATGGAAATTTGTGGACTAACAATA